TCAAACGCGAATGTGTTATCTCCAAGGCCACTAAGGCAATTTGATGTTATAGTCACTTACACACCCGGTGACATCTAACTGTAGTACACTCCGTTTCGATGTTACATGTTAGGTTTCAATCAACGGGAGGTTCTACTGCCTCAGCGAACTAGCGGATAACGATGAGTGCTGGGCCCAGGCCTCAGTGGGAACACCACCACCCATTGGGGTTCAAGTGCATCTGGCTGATGAGTTCCAAATAGGATGAAACGTGCATCTTGGATTCCAAAGATAGTATATACAAAGTTATCAGATAACATAAATAGATCTTTCTAAAAGGAAATAAGGATGCATTCAATCGGATCATAAATCACAAAATATAAACAGTCACTGTATACAGTAAAGACATTGCATTACCGTCAGTCGTATTTGCAAGTAGTTTTAAAGCCCAAGAATATGATAAAGTTGTTTACAAATGTTTCATCTTTCGGGCCAAAAATGAAATTTAGAGACAAGGCATTAGGTATTGCAATTTTTCCTTACACCCACCTGTATACAGACTATGTTTAGTCAACTGATATCAACTTCACTTCTAGGAGAATTCATAGTTAAGCATCTGAACACAGGATTGTGTTATCTTCTTATGCACGCCTTTATTTGCTAGTATCTACCATTAGAACAATAAAATAATACATTCGACGACGATCAAACAAAATGACAGTAACTACAAAAAAGTAATCTTACTTATTCTTTAAGGGTAAACGATGTAGTTTCGATTTCGAGGTTTTGCGCGGTTCCTGCTTTGAAGAAACCCCGACACTTGTAGGCTCTAATATAGTATTTGTAGTACCAATACGCCGTTGTTTAATTTCTGTGCTTTCCAGAAGAAATGAAGGATGATTAGAGGAAATAAATTTCGAATTATCAATATTTGAAATGCCAACATAGCTTGGTTCAGTAACTTTATTGGACATAAATGTTGATGAAGATGAATCGCTTTTCATACGCGTGGACAATGATGGGGTGATTGAACCAACCAAAGACGATGGATAGTTGGGATCAGATATTTTCTTTGTCTTCTATGTATACATATATATATGAAAGGTAGATAAAAACTTGAACTTTTTACGACATTAAGATGACGGCAGGCTCCAAATGGAAAAGGTTAGTTCAGAAAATGTGCGAAAATGTAATTTTCACATGTTAGACAAACTATATATAGCAACCAGTTGACAGTGTGCTGAACTTAAATTTCATGCACTCAACATCAACGAGTATTTGCGAACTTGAGGAAGTTTACGGAACCTCGGATGTCCCAACACACGTCATTCATAGATGAGTACAAAATCTAGGTACAGTAGGGTCTCCGGTGGATTGAAACCTAACATGCAAAACCAAAACAGAGTGTGCCGCGGTGAAATGTCACCTGTGTTGGGTTGGTGATTTTAACACAAAATTGACCAACAGACTTCAACCAACAAACATGACAGCTGCATCGATTACCATCTGACGATAAGTTTTTATACATTTTGTTGAATGTTTGGAAGAGGTTGATCCAAAAACTTTACACGCTCCCATTTTGGATGGCATATATTAGATAGGCGCTTCTACGAATTCAAAGAAAATTAGCATTAAAATATCACTTTTCAGTGAAGAGCACTTCTGATCAGTTGGTAATCTCTTAGAATTTGATGCTAAACGATAGCAGTTTGATCACTGAGGCATGAATTTTCTTTGATTTACAACTGTGTCATCCGAATGAATATAAACGATAAAGTGGTTTATTTCCAACCACTTCACTTACCTACCTGTGAAGTAGGATCAGCCCAACCCTGGTGACTCAATGGATGATGAAATATCTGCACGAATACAAAAGGATCGACCGACTTTTGCCAACTTACGCCACCTACGGCACCACCGAGATATCCCCTATCTCCATTAAAAGTCACGTGTGCTGCACACCACTCCGGTCTCTTCTACCAGATGTATGGCTGTGAAACATCGCCATTCAAGGTGGAAGACATGAGAAGGCTGGCTTCAGGTGTTTGACCATTGCTAACTTCGTAGTATAGACTGTATTCCGTGGTGTCACCACATGAGTAATGCAGAAATCAGGAGTAGAGTTTTAGGGAGAAGAGGTAAATCAGTTGACGAGGTTATGAACCTTCATCGACTGAGATGGTTGGGACACGTACTACGCATGCCTAGTCGCCGTCCATCTCGTCACGCAATGTTGACCAAGTAGGTTCAGGCTGGAAAAAGACCCGTGGCGGCACTAATGTATGAAGTCTTTGATTGTTGGTTTAGGCCGTGTAGGGCAGTCTAGACTAGCCGGTTGGGGTCTATGGGACAAGAGGAACTACTGGTTGGAGACTCTAGGGGATATGGCTCAGAACCGATGTCAGTGGTGCAGATGTATTTCCACACACATTATCTTCATCTTAACGACGCTATACCGAATCTCACCATTCTCTCTTTTCTTACTTTATATTTCTTGTGACTGAATTTTCTTATCTTCATCTTGCACCTCACTGCTTTTTACTTGATGTACTGATATGAGTTGTGGCAACTCGGACTGTTACGTAGTAATACCTGGTCCTATTTTGATATTGATGATGATTTCCAAATGCTTAAATCAAATACCTGTTAATATAACGAACATTCCTACTAGACACTCATTGAAAAGTGTGCAAATAAACTTTAAAAATTCCTTACATCATTATTGATATTTGTTGGTGATTTTATTAAATCATGAGAAATACTTCCTTGTGAATCAAGTTGATTACCCATGATAGAGCTAGTTTTTTCACTGGATTCATTAAATGCTATGCTGTTACTTCCAGAGTGATAAAAATCAAGGTTGGACGCAACAGTTGTACTAGGAGCTGACTTAAAATCTGTAGATGAACTTGGTAGTACATCTGAAAGAGAGTGAACATCTGAATCATCATCTAATGATATTGTTTTTATCAGATTACGGTTGACATTGGATTTTGGTGAAAACGCAGCATGATTGGTTGGCTTTGATAGCGATATATCCTGAGACCTTAAAAGTCAAACGACAAGAAAGGGAGAAATATTAGTAATAATCCATCACTGAAATCGATATGGAAGAATAGCTCTGAACTGTCATTATTTGGGAAAATACATACTATATTATCTCCAACCAGTGAGTAAATGAAAGTTAGCCCGCAATATGTATAGACATAATGCAGGTAAAATACAAATCACGTCATGTGATATTAAATATTTGCATTAATTGTTCAGAGACCACGACAATATTTTTGGAACAATATAGAATTCACAGCATGTAATATATTTCTGCACAATATAGGCAGATGAAAACATGATAGCATCTAAATAAGCCTATAATTACTGCATTACGAGCAATACTATGTGACATCTAGCTGTTTCATCTAGCCCCTAGGTACGTTAGTGAATAGATAAGTTTGGATAAGTTTACCTGCTTAGGTTCATTTAGTCAGCATACCAATCTCCAGCTCAAGTTAAACATTTTAGGAACAGTTACGTGGTGCACTGTTGAGCACTTCAGACCTCACTGCGATCGACCATGGTATTTTCATCTAATTTATTGTGAACGTTCAGTACGGTTTTAGGACATATTTGAATGATCAGAACAAATTTTGAAGTAATTTTATGATGTACATTCAACAGGGAGATTTTGGTAGACAGTCTGTTGAAGTTCATACCTTCCCATATTTACAAGTAATGTTGTGCTTGGAAAAAAGTAATGGTGTCCCGGAAGTTATGCTAACCCGCTTACATTGGTCGTTCCCTCAAAGAAACTCGTTCTGGTTTAATTTTACAAAACCAACAATAAACTGGTTTGCGCACTAGGCAATGAAACATATCTATTGTACTAGGACTGACGATACCAACCGAATTTCCAAACCGCAACTGGTAGAGTTGGATTCGAATTAATAATTCACTGAAATTAGACCGTCTGGACTACCGGGACGCAGAAACTCATACACACAAAATGATAAATACACTTAGAGCATTGATAAAAGAAATCAGTCTTACCCTTGAAGTTTAACATACTTGTGAAAGTTATACACTTTTGATAAATAATAATTCGATTTACAATTGCGACCTTGGCAAACAGACGCAGATGAAATTAAAAAAAAGTATTTCTGACATAAAAATATCTCTCTTATGAGGTCAGGTCACCAATTATCTATGCGTGTACAAATAATATTAGGAGAATGGTAAATGGACATGCATTTATATCATCATCGTTATAAAGAAGACAAGAATGGACATGGAAGTTGTTAATGTGTATCGGTCAATTTATGTTGAAATAAAACGTAAACTGACTGAATGATGATAATGAATTCATCTCCCTCCCTTCCTCCTACTGAACTAATGTCAGAAGAAAAAGATAACAGAAATCTGTAACTCACTTATTATATTTAATGGAAAAAAACACTTGTTCATGTCCAAAATGTGCAGAACAAAAACAATAGTTTGGAGTTAATGAACTCGGTGACACCGAAGATAAGTGACTAATACATCAGTTTAAGCCATTGGTTGCAAGAGCTGACTACTATTTCAGCCGACAAATGTATGATAGACATCAATAGCTTAAGATGCTATTTTATACAAACTATATTTAAGATTTTAGATTGTTAACGTTGTGTTTTACAGAAAGAATAAACATAACATAATAGTAGATTTTTGTAGCAACGATCACAGGGTTTAAACCGAAGAATGAGGGCTGTAGTACAAACAAGCACAAAATCTAGACTTAGGAACAACTGTAAATCATCTCTAGCCATTCAACACATTCAGAGATCTAAAGGCGATACAATCTTAAACTATCGTCCAAAGAAAACATATGATGATGCAGTAACTAAGTAATTATTGACAGCTTCATATAAAGATGCTCACGATTAATGCGATCTTGCATTGAGAAATTATAAAAATAAGTACCGATTCAATGAAAATTGGACTGAAGTGACCAGATGGTTAATAACCACGCACACAATCATGCTGATTGGTCGCCTTGGGATGTGATACACACTATAAGACCAAACTTCTGGTTAACAACTTACTAGGTGATGAAATATGATATTTAGTTCGATACAAAAAGAGAAATAAAACACAGCAATAGGAATAATTTATCAGATATCACGTAGTTGTTAAAGTTTGAAGTGAATGTCATCACTTAGTCAATGAGAATTCTGTGCACTGAGTGTTAATTTGGGTGTTCAGTGTCAGCACAATTGTATGAACCGTTGTAAATAGAGGAATGATCCATCACATAATCGCATAAGTGAGACTCTAGATTATTACAAAGTTCGGTCTACTTGAAATTTAACTTGATTTCAAGAAGATATCATCTTCCACTAGAAGCTGAGACACAAGGGTAAATAAGTGTAAAATGCATTTCTAGATATGAATGGTATTAATTCGACAGCACTACTAGACTCATGAATTCACTTTGGAATGTACCAAAGGTAAATAATAATGACAATGATAATAATAGACCAGCAAGACAAATGGGTGTAGAAATATATGTGAATGAATGTTGCTTATAACTTTCATCAGTAAGTATACCCCACCTTGATTATCAGCGATTGATGAATAAATACAGAAAAATAACATAAAAGGCTATGCGAAATGGCAGACGTTAGCTTATACTTTGAAATCTACTTGACGCCTAACTTGTACAGAATACAGTGTAATGAATTTATCGTTATGTACAACAGACAAAAATCCTACGATAGTTTCACTACTTACCCTATAAAGTAATTGGATAGGAAATCGGTGTACGCAATTCATATAAAGGTTGTTCTTCTCTTCTTATTCCTTATAAATGCACATCCATTTAAAGAAAGATCAGCTCCATGTAAGTAGTTAATGAATCTAAGCAGACAGGTGCGCAAAAAACTTAAAAATCCCCTTCACACATCAAAACTGTGAAACGACTCTTTATCCTTCCTCGTATCACAACACAAATAAATCTCGAAGGTTAAACGAGGAATGAGACACAGAATTTATTATTTATAACGCATACAAGTTCGAACAAAATATAGTTCTTTGATTACAGGATACTTTGTTGAGATAGTATCAATAACAGTAGTGTATCATTTTTCCCTCTGTATCGTCTCTAATCAAAACGATACCGAAATGGCATTGTGAAATACGAATCACCGCAAATATACCTATTTGTGAAAAAACTGAAGACCGACTAAAAATAAACAGAAAAAAAATACTGACCTCAAAGGCTGCACTCAAATAAGTTAGTGATAAAGAGTTAATTGGATGATAAATATGGTTGTGTGTGTATGTGTATGTACGTGTACGAATGTATGAATAACCTTCGATACTGTAAGCTAATTAACAAATAGACAAATAAACGAACAAATACATAGAAGCCATCTGAAGATGATTTAAACAACCAATCACTAACAAATAACGAGATCAGAAAATAAAAAGTGATAAAGAGAATCAGACTTGTGTAAACACACAAAAAAAAAAACCACATTAACCAAGTTTTGTGATTGGTATAAAATGAGAAAAAAAAATAACGGAAAGCCTGAAATATCAGAAGCACTTTTGCGTGATAAATTAATTATTTAAACGTATGTGTGTTACTCAATGACCATATGTAGTCTGGTGAACCACGTAATGAGACACACCGATTATGTGGTTTATGATGCCAGCTGACTGACCGAATCTTGGTGGGTGGAGTTGAAAACCGCTACCCATTGGTTGAAAATCGAATGCTTAAAACGATGAATCACAACTCAACAAGGTTGCCGGATGCATCGAATAATATGTAATTGCAACTCAAGTATTCTGTACATGATCGTATACCAGAATGAGTTCCATCTCATCTATGTGCGTTTGACAAGAGTTATCCATTGGTAGAAATTTAACCAGACGAAACTGAACTCATATCTTAAACTTAATAATTGATAACTAACAGCCGAAATCAAACAAGTCAGCTTTAATGTTCCTCACAAGTGCAGTATGTTAGGATTACCTTAGTAGAATAAACTGTTGTTTCACTTTGATACTATCATAAGGAACAGATTGCTAGTTTCAAATTCAGATCCATAGTTTATGAAAAAGCTTCAGTCAAAATCATAGATGCTTAACTGAAAAGCCTACTAATTAATTAAATTGTCAACAAAAATTGTGGTACTATAGAACCGCTCTGTACAACAGAAACTTAGTTACGCTAAACAAATGAATAGTATACAAAGTAATCAATTTAACTAGATGTTTACAGGCCGCTGTAGAACATTCGAAATACTGTAATTGATGACATGACAAAAAAAACGCTTCTCTTTGGTAACTGTAGTGTGTCTGCGCAACAAACTACTGCGAGCAAAAATCAGTACCCTTGAAAGAGCTAGTAGTATCGTTCTACTGTGCAACAATACACAAAACATTCAAATTTCACACATTCAGTTAGCGATCGGTTTCTTAACTATCTTTAACCATCAAAGTATAACAAGCTTTTACAAAAATGGCGACAGCCTATATCCACTCACACTTATGGCAGTGAGCTGTTAAAACTAGTTGAAAAGTTACTTTTTGATAATTATATGAGTGCTGGTGAAGCAGAGAACGATGAGATTCCCAACTCCATATCAAAAACCAGAGTTGCATACGCCAATTTGGGTCAACGCTGATGCCACCACAACATTAAACTTGCTTTGGCAAGTCGGGTAGACAGCGCGTTGATCCACACAGTTCTATCTTAAACTTGAGACCTGACCTCTACGAGTCAAGGACGACCGCCGACTTTGTGTTGGATCACCATCATCTGAGTAGCCCAGCTATCATCCAGTGAAGACACCATATAAGTAATTCTGATGTGCGGTGGCACGCATATCGGTGGGATGTATGTCATCACTCTGAGAGTGAAGCCATCCTGAAACATCAACTTCAATGACTTGGAATGTGTTACGGATACCATCTTGGCAACTGCTACACTGTTTGCTGTTGCCTGTGAGACTGGCTGGAAGAAGCGGAGACATGGTCAGTGTATGACCCGGAGACTAAGGATGAAAACGGAGGATCTGTTGGTATTTCGACTCTCTGGGTGGGGTTTAGTAGATCACATGCTTCAGTGGCGTGATATGACTTCAGAAATGGTTCATAATATAAACCAGTGGGGGCCCCGTTGCAGGTTTCTTGTTGATCTGTTATCGAAAGGTAAGACGAGAGTAATAGGAAGCCGTTCAAATGTATGCTTGAGACTGCTTCTCTAGCAACCCTTTTGTATTTTCTCCTACTATATCACCTTCATTTTGTCTTCGGAATGTTACTGTACCGTACAGACAGACCAGAGACTTTGTCAGTGACAAGGAGCTGAATGAAATAATGATGGATTTAGAGATAAATTTGGAAGTGATAACGGAAAAACAATGCAGTTCATTTGTAAACATGATAACGATGAAATGATAATAATTTTAATGACTGAGTATGGACCTTGTAAAATATCAAGTCCGATTGCTATCAGGGAGATTCTTTGAGCGCTTCAGAATCTTCATTGTAAACGCTTCATTATTGGGGGATATACAAATAATTACATCACTCATTGCACATTAATGGCCTGGTTGGCTGGTAGTAGTTTAAATGATATAAACACTATCGCATAGGTGGTGACGATTAAACAACAACGAAGTATTCATTTCTACAGTTTCCACTGGTAATATATGCTAGCTAAAAATTATTGTGACTATTAGTATATATACAAATTTCGACAACAATATGAGTAGAAAAGTATGTTTATCACGAATACGTACAGTATCTTCCATTCTTAATGAATGAGCCTATTGCAGTAAAAGTAAGTGAAGCACTTGACAAATAAATACACAAAACCATATTCCTCTTCGTCATTAAAGCAAGTGTGTAAACAAATCAGTCGTATTCGGTGATTTCGGCTACTGACGGTTCCAAAAAGTAAGACTGATTACTGTAACATGTGCACAAACCGTAGTTTTCAGAGTCCACTCTTGGATAGTGTCAAATGACTATTAAATAGGAAGATTAGAATACAGCATATATTTAAGTTGATAAATTTATTTATTTTGAAGTGAAAAACAGTAACAGGAATTGTCAGAACTGAAAATGAAATGATCTTGATAAAAAACTGTTTGAAGTTATGGATCCGTTGCATCCTATGACTCACACATGTGTACAGCAGTGATCATTGATACCGACTTTATACAAAATGCACTAATTGTTTCTCTCTCCCAATTAAGTCACATAGAGATGGTTGTTTTTGATAGTAATAGACAAATAGATAGCAATGATGGTAGCAGTCTGAATATATTTACCAAAATAAATAAAAGTTAATGAAGCATTAGTGCCTTTAATACTGTCAATATTAACACTATTCAGACGCAATAATTCTCTTAATATTGTACAGAGAGGGAATTTGTTGATATATTACACAATGAGAATTCCATATAGTATGACACGTTGTTTGGAATATAGCTATTATTATTATTATTATTATTATTATTATTATTATTACTATCATTATTATTATTATCTGTATTATTAACAATAACGTCTAGAAATAATGCGTCGCAGAGTACTACAATTTTGAGTTTTACAAAAAAACATATGTATCCTGAAGAAGTATAGAAGAAGCAATCAGAACCTTCCAGACACACTAAACCTTCAAATATATATTTTAGAAGCTATAGTGTTTTCCTAATGTTTAGATTGTATGAATAGTTGTTACAGATGAATAAACTTAGAGTGAAAAGTCCGATCAAGCACTGAATAAGAACAGAATTGATCAGGATTTAAACAAGCAGGAGCATGAAATCAATAGGGCTAGTACACAGTAGGAAAAAAAGCAATTATTCCTATTTTTTACGATTACAGTTTGAGCTGAGAGGAGGGTGAATTTTCTGATGTACATTAGTGAGCCAATAGAGAAAAAGTTCAATACTTGCATATTTAAAAACCCTCTATTCATTTGTCTAACTAATCGTGATACACTGAGATAAACTTCGATTGTATAAAACATGTGTCTTCAAGATTACCGCACTCAGCCACTTTGTGTACATCCATGCACTAGACTATGAGACTTACTTATTTTTCGAGAGCTACTGATACTAACTAGCTGCCTAAACCTCGGTAGGTCAAGCGAAGTGCGAACCCGTGGCCCAATAGCTGACAGTCATCTCCCTAAACGCACTCATTGTCGTTTCACTTGACACGACTGCTGATGCTAACATATATCCGGTACAATATGAACATAAAGATATGCACTCCAAGCATACTCAACGAAGATTATTGAGACGTAAAAAAAAAGTAACAAACAATAACAAGATAGTTGGAAAAGGAAAAAACAGTCACATATGATTTATTCAGAAAGCTCTCATAACTTTTCAGTATGATCGCAACTGGCTTCAATCCTAAGCCATACCAAGCAGTAATTTTGCACCAGCAGAAGCTAACTCAGCACAGGCATCTTGCATCCTACGACCTCATATCATGCATGATATATAACAAAGTGATCATCTCTCTTTTTCAATGTAATTGCCAGTAAAAAGACTAATTGGTAGGGCAACTAAACTGTTACATGTGACATCATGGATTTGCATCCTATTCTAGGTAGGCGAGTTTGAGTGACGAGGTAGTAACACAGCTTTTATACGACTTGTCCGACTCGACCTAGCACACGAACATGTACAAGGCTATCAAGTTATAGTGACTATTTATTACTATTGTTAACACGAGCATTTCCTTACACAATTTTAAATTAAAAAGGCAGATAAAAGACACCGATCGTTTACAATCAAAACACGTGATTTTATCGAACACACTGCATCATGTAGTCAGGTGATTTAGTTTACTAACCATATTATGCCAAAGTCCAAGGACATCAATCTTTCTTTGGCATTATCTTGGTTACTATTCAGATACTGACTGATGTTCGTACAACAATCCCATATCAAAGTTCAACAAATAGTGTTATTAACAATGTCGCAGAATGATGTAGATTGGAATATCACAGGGAGTTTTCTAAAGGATGCAAATACACCTGAAAGCGGGAAACGTCAGATTAGATCTTTCATATATGATTAGTTTTAAACACTGAACAAATTTTATCTAACAAAACACCTTTCATTAAAGTAACTTACTCATTCATGTAAAATGTGGTAGTTTCATCGCCAGCCGTAGATACAAAAGCAGCATTCGGAAACATATTTGATGTCATATTTAAATCATTACTGAATGAGAATACACCTAGAGATTCATCATCATCACGATGTACAGGTTTCTCTGACTCATTTGAATCAACTGAATCCAGAAGGCTAGCAGATTCAGAAATAGTTGTCGCTTCAACAGCAATCTCAACTATTGATTTACCCTGCTGGCTTAACTCATCAATAAATGTAGCACACGACGTAGATTCTTTGCCATCAGTCTATGCAATGATGAAAAGAGAGCGGGAACAGGAAATGTCAAAACAAATTATTGTTGGCTAGAGAAAATGGATATAAAGTAGTGAGCTTTACACTAAGGATAAAATTAACTCCTATGTACTGTTGAACTTGAGTGATTGTATGCCGACAACATTTGACAGCCTATGCAGGATGTTATTAATAGAACACCAGAAAATATTCACTTCATGAAATGATGATATGAAGAAAACCTTGTTAATACCACACATGAATAGATAAACAACGCTAGCTAATAACATCAATAATTGAAAATAAACTGCGCTGATATGCGTATTTTTCTACCCAGGTAACAGTGATCTTAGCAGCTAACAATCGTTTAGCCCTTTTGAATAGTGTATACGGATGAATTCACATTACACCGTTAAATAATTCAGATTTCTTCAAATTTCACACAAATCTTTCTTTTCGGGGGCAACAAGAACAACAGTAGCAGAATTAGCAAGTATGTATTTCATGGATTCTCCTCAGCTGCTGTACCACCCGTAAAATATAGTTTATGATTGAAAAAACAAGGTATACAACGTACTTTCACCAAGTGATAAGGAAGATAACAAAGATGTCAACTGGTCAAAATTGGTGGAATTTGATGTTGTTAACAATACCCAAAAACGAAGTATTTACTATACACTGATAGACTGAATATCCTAGGGAAAATAGCAGAAATAGGAAGGGATCGTACACAACGTTATTCCAGAACTGGTAAAAACTGACATCATGATTAAATAGGAGTAACAAAAGGTTAACAGATTTTCATTATATTGAGTCATGAGATAAACGCAACTCAGAAAGTGAGAGTACAATTTGAAACAGATTGAAAGGGAAGATGGAAAACAAAGTCATGAGATCATGAAATTTTGTAGCTACAAATTTAGGATATTAGAATTACCAAGGTAAAACAAACCTCGCCTGCTTAACTAGTTCACTAGTTACTAGCCGGTCCTAAGCCCCCATAAAGAGGGAAGGTTGGGCATACTCCTAGCAACCCTACCCCGTAAAACAAATCTAACCGCTAAACAAACTTCAAAGCACAAACAAAATAAAAAAAATAAAAACAAAATTATTCCTCGCTGGAATCGGAGAGGCGAAATGACGTCAGTTGGTGAAAGCCTTCGGGAAGCCAATTGGCCGATGTGTCTTCTCTCGATGAAAGCGAAAGTAAACGTGGGGACATGGAATGTCCGTACGATGTTTGAACCCAGTAAGGCAGCCCAGATTGCAAAGGAGATGAGAAGGTATAACATCGAAGTGCTTGGGATTTGCGAAAGCAGATGGAATGGGAGTGGACTCTCCAAACTGTCAACTGGAGAATCAATAATCTACTCCGGTCACCCAGACGCCAACCACGAGCACACTGAGGGAGTGGCTATCATGATGTCCTCAAGAGCATCGAAGGCTCTCATGCAGTGGGAACCAATCTCCTCCAGGATCATGACAGCAAGATTCAACTCAAAAGGAAGGAAGGTCACAATCATACAATGTTATGCACCTACAAATAATGCAGAGCAAGAGAAAAAGGAGGAATTCTACAGACAACTTCAATCAACACTGGACAAGACGTCAGTTGGCGATATCAAAATTCTAATGGGCGACATGAATGCCAAACTGGGAAGGGACAACACAGGAAGAGAACTAACCATGGGTCGAGAGGCGCTAGGTGAAATGAATGAGAATGGAGAATTGTTTGCAGAATTCTGTGCATTCAACGATTTGGTGATTGGAGGCAGTGTGTTCAGGCACAAGGATATCCACAAAGCGACATGGATTTCACCAGATGGACACACTAAAAACCAAATCGACTTTATCTCAATCTCAAGAAAATGGAGACGCAGTCTACTTAACACAAGGTCAAGAAGAGGAGCAGATGTAGGTTCAGACCACTATCTAGTGCAAGGAACCTTCCAAATCAAGTTAAAAGCCTTCAAGGAAGCTGGTGATAGACCTCAATTCAAGTACAACACTCGGAAACTGAAGGATGAAACTACAAAGGAGATCTTCAAGGCAGCCATCAAGACAAAATGGGAGACGTCGAGGGACATCCCTGAAGAAACCTGTGTGGAAGAACACTGGAAGTCTTTGAAAGCTATGTGGAAAGAAACCTGCACAACAGTATTAGGAAGGAAGAAGAAAGAAGACAAGGAATGGATCTCGACGGATACCTGGAAGCTGATAGAGGAGAGGAGGATGGTGAAGCAGAAGATAAACCAGTGCAAGGATGCTCAACGACAAGAGGAACTGAGCACAATGTATAAAACACTGGATAAAGAAGTGAAGAAGAGTGCACGCAAAGACAAAAGACACTTCTACGAACACTGGCAAGTGAAGCAGAACAGGCTGCAGGTAAGAGAGACCTGACGACATTGTATCAAATAACCAGGTTGCTATCAGGGAAGAGACCAACACAGATGAAACCAATAAAAGATGAAGAAGGAAATTTAATTACAAAAGAAGAGAAACAGAGGAAACGATGGGCCGACCACTTCAAGAAGCTCTTGAATCGACCACCACCTGCACTTCGTCCAGAAATACCACCTGCAGCCGCTGAATTACAAGTGAACATAAATCCCCCAACGAAAATGGAAGTCCTGAACGCCATAAAGCTACTGAAATGCGGGAAAGCAGCAGGACCAGATGGAATACCGCCAGAAGCACTGAGAACAGATGCAGAGACAACAGCGGACATGCTCACACCACTATTGCAGAAGGTGTGGAGGGAAGAGAAGGTACCTGACGATTGGAAGAAGGGTTACCTTGTCAAACTGCCGAAGAAGGGAGACCTCAGTGCTTGCAAGAACTGGCGCGGAATCACTCTCCTGTCCACCCCAAGCAGAAAAATTAAGCCGCATCATCCTGGAGAGGCTTAAAGACGCACTGGATTCAAAACTGCGACCGGAACAGGCAGGCTTCAGGAAGTACAAATCATGTGCTGACCAAATTGCAACGCTTCGTATCATCATAGAACAGAGCGTAGAATGGCAATCAGCTCTCTACCTCAACTTCATCGACTTTGAGAAGGCCTTTGACAGCGTCGACCGAGAAGTAATTTGGAAACTGCTTCAATACTACGGAGTACCGCAAACCTTTATCCGCCTCATTCAACAACTATATGAAGATGCCACATGCCAAGTAATCCACAATGGGAAGCTCAGTGATGCCTTTGAAGTGAAGACAGGAGTGAAACAAGGTTGCCTACTATCCCCCATGATATTCCTTATTGTGGTGGACTGGATCATGCAGCAAACAGTAGGCAGCGAGAAGAGGGGGATACACTGGACGACGGAAAAGAACCTAGAAGACTTGGATTTCGCCGATGACTTATGCCTAATGTCACATAAACTTGAAGATCTGCAGGCAAAAACTAACAAGTTGACAGAAGAGGCAGCTAAGACGGGACTTCAGGTGAATATAGAGAAGACAGAAGTGATGAAGATACCGCACCACCACCATCAACAACAACAACAAACTCCAATCACCGTCAACGGGAGAAACTTGAAGGAAGTAACCTCCTTCACTTATCTAGGAAGCACTGTTTCAACTACAGGCGGGACGGACGAGGACGTCAAAGTCAGAATCGGAAAAGCAAGACAGGCGTTCATTAGCCTGAAACCAGTGTGGAGATCTGCACTCAGCATGTGGAACAAGATACGGATTTTCAACACCAACGTCAAGTCAGTGCTCTTGTATGGCTCAGAGACTTGGCGCGTCACGAAAGGCATTTCCAATAAACTACAGACATTCATCAACAACTGCTTACGCTCGCTGCTGAAGATCAGATGGCCAGAAAAAATAAGCAACAAGGAACTCTGGGAACGAACCAACCAAGAACCTATCACGCAACAAATATGCAGGAAGAAGTGGAGATGGATTGGCCATGCACTGAGAAGGCCGACTGAGGACATCACGCGTCAGGCCCTCGAGTGGAATCCCCATGGGAAGCGACGAGTTGGACGTCCGAGGGTGACATGGAGGAGGTCGTGCGAGGAGGAAATGAGAGCTTCTGGGCTGTCGTGGAACCAGGTTCAAAAGATCTCAGAGAACAGAGGTCAATGGAGGCGTGCTACTGAAGCCCTATGTTCCACTAGGAACCCAAGGGACTAATAATAATAAATAATAAAGGTAAAACAAGGTTGACAACAGTATCTTTCTGAATACATAGACTAAGTTCGAGTCTTTAAATTGGAATTTCTGCTATCATTGTATAAATGGTTAGAAGATCAAACTGACTAGACTATGGCAAGATTGAAAACAGTACTTAATTGACCATACGAAGATCATAAACTGAGTCAACCGAAAGACGAATTACAAGGAAGCTGAAAGAACTTTCGAAGGAAGTGTATCGATAACGTTACCTATAATGAGCTTAAATCGTGTAATCTTGTTTACCGTACACGTATGGCCCGCCGAAAACGCATTAGCTTTGTTGATGTCGCCATGAAATCAATACTATCACCGGTAAATTCACTGTTCCACAAGGTTGCTCAATCGTTGGCGAAACATTTAGAACCTATCCGTGCAAAATTGGCTGTTAACAGTTTGAAAGATACCATCTAGTTAGCAAAACTAATGATTTGTTTTGATTTATCTACCTTATTTACCAAGACGTCACTAGAAGAAATTATAGATATCATACGTCACGATCCCGACCTACTTCCACTTTCAAAGTATGGACTCAAACAGCTTCTACTGATGAGCACGAAAAATGTCTAATTTCAATTCAACACCACCAAGTCGATGGGGCCGCCATGGGTAACCCTTTGGATTCAATCTTTGATACCTTCAAGGGGACAGACAGTTTCATTCACCTTATTCTGAAAACGGGAACTAAAAGTTGCAAATGTATGCAACCACGCTTCAATTAAATGTATAGTCCCGACCAACTGTTGCTACCTTGACATGGTGAGCGACTTTAAAGGCTACTCTAACAACTGCCAAAATAAACAATCAGGTTGCAGTATTTTGGTTGAGAAGGCAATTTTTCGAAGAATAGGGAAACGTGATTGGCTGTTCCGTCAGTTGCGAGGATGGCCTTCAAAATCGGCAGACGTAATCGTTGCGTTTACGCACCAAAAGAACCTCGCTGGTTAGAACACATGTTCCTCAAACTTCCACTATGTCATAAAGGTTTGTTGGACATTAGTGGCAAGACGAAAGGCGGTGAAAATCGCTATACCATAATGGTGGTCCGAGTGAGAAATTCCTACCGCTGGTTGGACAGGGTATGATAGCAGTAAAGTGTTTCCCACGAATGACCAGCAGTACCATCCTGATATCACTTTCCTTTTGAGAAGTGAGGATTAGAAAATGTCAACTTCAACAATAATACACTCCTTTCTGCCTTACAGTACTTCTGGTGCCGGCGGTACGGGCATTCTCCATCCATCGTTAGCACAATCCCATATAATGCCAGCAATCTTTATACACTTATGAACTAATTCATATGAAATGAAGCGAAGGTTAGATAGCATTGATTTAGAAGAGGATGATGAGGTAAACTTGCACACCAACGAAACAGTTAGTATGCTTCTAACATCCGTTAGAAATGAACTTTACTCTGATCCTGAGCTTACTCATAGAACTACAGCACCGAGTTAAGACATCATGTTAAGAGTCCCCTTATTTCTCACCTCTACAGTTCTCAATTTTCAAGATAAAATATATCAACAAATGGAAAGAGTAGTCATGGGATCACTAACATCCCCAAGTCGTAGCAGATATTTTCATGAACAAATATGGCTCCTAGAATATTCTATTCTACTCTGAAAGCATGGTAGGGATATTTGAATGACACATTTACTGACTTGAAATCCGAACACACCTACAGCTCACTCATACACATACACTTGATGGTAGATGGGATACAATTCACTTTCGAGTCAGAAGATGAACAGGGGGATTAGCTGTGTTCAATTGTAAAATAAAACGAAGATGGTGGCTTGCATACAGGTGTCTTCATAAAACCATCGCATTCTAATAGATATCTAGACTTTAGGTTGTCTCAACATATATCAGTGAAGGCAGGTTTGATCAAATGTTTCAGTAATGAAGTCAGGAATAGATCCAGTAGGTCAGAAAGAGTATGTCAAACATGAAATAAGTGAGAGGAGCTTCACTTCCAAATAAATCTCCTCCTAAGTGTATCCAGAAGTTCCTAAGGGATCATGAAAATGAGAAAATTAGTGATACGAACAATGATTACAATACGAGTAGAAGGGAATCCAATCAATCCACATTGTTGCCATATAGTAGGAAAGGGACATCAGAAAACGTACGTAGGATTCTCAATAAGACTCGAATCAGTGTGGTATTCAAGCCTACAAGCCCACTCAGAGACAAACTTTGTCAACGTAAAGATTCTACTGACCCAATTACACAAAAAAATATTTTAATTTGCCGAATACATTGCAATGACTGTGAGGTCAGGTACACAGGCCAAACTACCTGATCTTGATCAGTCAAGTTAGCGGAACACAAACACCTGGCTAAGTCCAGACTGATAGATCCTACCGAGATGAGTAATGTAGAGGAGAATTCAGTCACATCTATGCATGTGAAAACACACAACGATAACATAGGGTAGGACAGAGTAACAGTTCTAAAGACTAATATAGTTAGGAGGAGGACGGAGAGGTTGATCACTGAATCGTTGTTCATCGATTCAACGCTTAACTTGTGTAACAAGAATAATTTAACACCGATTTCAGATCCATGCGAAATCATACTACCAATGAAATCAAAGAATGAAAAGCAGTAGAACTAACCAGAGAGAAACTAAGTCAGGCAGCTGTGTGATTACCTAGATTACCCAGAAAAGTCATCTAGTAGATAACACCGTATCAGTATGTGCTATATCAAAAACACTAATCCAGTATGAAAGTATTGAACTACCAGGTTATAAAATTCTATTGCATACAAAAGGCAAGCTGGAAAAACGAGGTTGCATTAAAATAGAACACTGACCAAAATTGTAAGTGGTTCAAAGTTCAATAATTAAAGAAAGAGGGGGTTAACGCATTGTGCTATTGCTTATGATTCCCATCTACTTATCAACGTGACCAGTCATTAGATATCTAACATTTCGTTACGCGAACACTGAAAAAATGCTGAGTTCTCTCAGCAGCTCGAGCAGCAATCTAATCATGTTAAATTATGCTTCAAAACTGGTCTGTGGTTACTCCAACTCAGCTTAGGGATACCGAGTAAGCAGTAAAATGCCATGAACACTTCACTTACTTCAGAAGTCGCTTCAACCCGAACGAATTGGTTGCTGACAATATCTCAGCTCGGGTAACAAACACTTCCCAACTTACGCCTTTTCTGGCTGGCGGCAGCAAGATATCCAACCACATATTAAAGAACAAGTATACTGGGCTGCAGCTCGCTCTATCCTAATATTTCGCTGCCGATGAAGGTAGAAGACGTCAAGAGACAACAAGCATTAGACCACAGGTATCTCCATTGCATTTCTTGTTCCGCATTCAGCGGAATCATTGTGTGCACAATGTTGAAGATAGGCGAGGGTTATCACGTAAAGTAGGCAAGTCAATCGAAGAGGTTGTGAACATTCACTGACTGAGGTGGCCTTCACACGTGTTCTCCATGCCAAACCACCACCTACCTCAACGTGCGATGTTAGTCAAAGTAGGATTAGTTCCATATTACATTTGTTTATTTGATATATAGCGCACAGTGAGACAGTATTATTTACTTGATTACGTCTCGAGCATAAATTATTGCTCATAATCATATCAATATGAAATGATATGATTATGAGCAATAATTTATGCTCGAGACGTAATCAAGTAAATAATACTGTATCACTGTGCGCTATATATCAAATAAACAAATCTAATATGGAATTACATTCTACCACAGTGCCCAAGTTTCACACTTACATTAAAGTAGGATTAGGTTGGAAGAAAGCGAACGGTGACCAAACCAAGCAGTGGGATCAGTCACAAACTGTTGGTCTGAGTGGAGTGGTGAGATGTACACTGTCAGATTGGGTTGCTCGAAATACTAGGAATCGATAGCTGGAGACTCTTGGTGATATGGCTATAAATAGGTCACTACGAAGCAGGTGTATTCACTGATCGACATCATCGAAGGTTTGAGCATTTTCACGAACTTTCATTTCTTAGAGTTTCTTTCCACCAATACACTTTATTTTATTATCACTCTTTACTGTCGTACAATAAAACGCAACAGACTGTAGGACAGAACAATTGTCGTTGCCGGATAGATTGCCGGCGGGAATCAAAACTTTTATCTGAGCTGAAATTTGGATAGCAATTAAACCATTCGGGATGATTTAACTCCCCAAGTTATTTGGTCAACACATTCCACGACTTCATGTTTCATCCTCAAACTAGGAGTTGATGCACACCAGTCAGTCATATGATTTATGGGAGCGAGTTTCGGTAGTAATGAAAAAAGTGAAAATCTATCTCATAAAATTAGGGTGCTTATTTTTTTTCTAGTTAACTACCCAAGAAGCTATCTAGGAAACAGGCATTCTTTATAACACCGCCCAAAAAAGGTATTGGTGGGACAGTTTATCTTTGACTGTTGAGTCTATCGAATTCATTCTTACCCAAACGGTAGACAAAGTGTTCTTTAGGCTTGGTGACTTGGAGATTTCGTATACCCATGAAAACGATTATTTTTACAATTTTCAACCAATGGGTCACAGGCTCGAGCCCCTCTCCACCTGCCGAAGTTTGGGCAGCCAGGTAGTCTTACTAGCCATTTACTCAATAAGTGTAGCTCACTGCCTCACTTTAATTTTAGTAAGGAGTTCGGTTAATGCATATTGGTGACTGATGTCATTTTAATTTCATCATATCAATTGAAAAAAAGTTGTCAAAAGAGTAATTTAATTTCTGATTTATCATTGAATTGCTAAATATCCGTTTGTACTTAGTCAGGCAATAAGACTAAGAGTTATTTCGAACAAAGTTTTTTCACGTATTAAACTGCGATGCTTTTAAAACTGCAGTTTACACTTCGAAGCTAAGGCGTTTGACTTTAGTTAGATTATTTAGAAAATGTTTTTAGCTTTCAAAATTAGATAATACCATACTCTGCATTAGTTGCTGGCTGAATTAGTTGCGATATTTTGTATTGACCCTAAATAACCTGGATATATCATTTGGTCGGTGATCTGAATCCTGAAGTAACCCGTAAACACTATTGTTCCCTTGTGATCAGAAACTAAGGTTTGGAGATTTCAGGTGATAGGGCTTGGAATCAATTCCGACAATAAACTCATTTATCTTGTATTTTAATTTAGGCGATGAATGTACCATCGTCATGGATATATCCATTCCGCTCATTTTTTTTTCATGTCTGTGTCATTTCAAGCTATGTTAGCCTGAATACACTGGCTAGTACTTTGGTTCAACCAATTTGATAAAATCGTTAAAAATAGCATTTTGTTGCATGACATCAAAGGAAACTATTCCGAAGTAATGAATAACCTACAAGCGAGGAGGACTGCACATTTGCTTCTGTGGACTGTTTTGCACCCATACTAATGTTTCGCATCGCTTCATCCAAACCACTGATATCATCATCTTTGTCAGTAAAAAATTTGATCGTTCCAACAGAATCCCAATCATGTTTAGTTGAACTGCTACGAGGACTCAGACCAGATAGTTTGAGAGATTTCCGTGCATTCCTAGTTAAATATATAAAAAATTTAGACAAGATATAAATAGTTTTCAGAATCAGTTTATAAAAATGAAACTGTGATGAGGACTGGATACATGCTTCTATTGAAATAGCAGTATCCTAGCGGTGCTGAATCGCTACTACAAGAAGGAACGAACAGCTCTGGAAATCATACATTTCATTCAACCTTAAAGAAGTATGCATTAAGGAACGGAGGAAACTCTTTAGACATTGAAACTTACCACAAAACAATGCGACGGAACTGAAATAGATACCTACTAGATTTTATGCTCAAACAAAACTATGCTTTGCTTTGAGAACTTTAATGAGACAATAAGTTCCAGCTATTATTAGCACACCATACTTCAACAGCAAAAATAAATATCATAGCGAATCACCACTCCAGTGTAAAAAAAACAGCACATTCTGCAAAGCAAACATAGTTACGAGTAAGCGAAATTTATCAAAATGACAGGGCAGTTTCTCATCAAACATCCAGTTTACGCTAGAACTAAATACTGAATACACCTATTTGATGCACTGGTTTCATTGGTAGGAATCCAACCAGTGGGGCGATATTCTTAACCAGTAGGAAAGAAAATCTACTTCAGAAAATATGGAATTAACTAGACCTGAATACTCAATAATTACCGTTTAAAACTGAACAAGAAACTTATAATAAATTTCAAGAAACAGATGGGCAGAGATGCGTAATGATACTCATAACACAAAAAGTGTAATTGAAAAACCCCTACTGTTATCATGTACGGGGAAACTCTAAAATATAACATTCGATTCTCAACAGAGCCATGAATAAGGAAATAAAACCCTACAAACTCAACAAGAAAGAGGTTTTCCACTTTTAAAGAGGAGATAGAAAATTCTCCATAGGAATACACGGGTTAAAACGGTCAACAGCATACAAACAGCTTCCTCACTTTTTATCTGGTGTAATAAACAATTCCAATAAGCTATAATTGGAAAGGATCAGTGGAGGATTTCATCTCTTTCTGGAGTATCCACTTGGACTTTAATCATGTGTTAGTGCGCACATGTGTATATTTTCATCTTACTGGTCGTAGAAAACAAGCGGGAGTGAAGCCAATCCGTGCTCGAATGCAACATGACAACGTCAAGTATTTATTTGAGGAGGAGACAGCTGACTGACTGACACTAGCAACACCAACATAAAACCCCACATACATGTGCATCGGTTTGAGTTGTCACACTTCACAGTTATGCACAAAGAACAGGTGGTTAGAAAAAAAGTGATATCAAAGTTGTGAGAATAAACAATCTGAAAAAAACGGCTAGTGCGGATACTCAAGCTTTAGAAGACGTCAAAGAGTGAATGTATGTGCACCACTGCGACCAATTTTCGGTCATTTCATCAGGGTTTCCAATCGATTATGGATAGGCTTTACTATCGCCTTTTTCCTGCGACCAGTAGGGGGCAGATATACACAATCCTGTACTAGTGCGTGACCAGAGCCCAAACAGGTGCCCTGGAAACAACGGCAATCCACCAGTGATCCTCTTTAACAACAGCTTATAGCAATGTGATCTATGTGTCCATCGTTAGTTTAAAGTCGGCAGACGCCATGTGTTGACCAGAAACAAGTGATTGTTGGAGGAAAGTCGCAGCAGACGATTGCTGTTGTTGGTTCGTTGGTGTGGCATTTCGTGGATACCCCCAAGACGCTTTTTCGATTAGCTCAGGTTCCCCGTTAAAGTTACCTGCCAATCTGCCTACATCTGAATGTCTTGCTTTCTGTGGCAAAACTGATAGCTTCCTATAGAATCCATCTTTTGTATTATCTTAACTACAGTCGGTCCGTGAGTAGGCGGCGATTCCAAATAGATATCTGTTGGTCATATGACTCTTCCTAGTTTTTTATCGATCCATTCGGTCAAAGAGCATAGACGGCTGTTGATTGGTATCCAGCCGGGAAGCGCACCTTCGTCTCCACAGCTCAATATTATTTCTACACCAGCAAGTCCACAACAGCTAGGCATTGGGTCTCCAGATACTAGTAAGGTGAATTTTGAAGATTCGACACAGTGGCCAAGTGGGGTCATTTTAGTGACCACGCTCATGTTCTGTATACGTATCTTAGAAACAGCATATATTTATGGCCAGAGTTTTGAAGAGCGCTGCTTGCTGTCCTACTTGGCATACAGTTCGGACGTTGAAAGCTTCCACAAGAAATCGATGGCGGGGTCTTAGGAGACTAGAAATCAGGTTCCGATGGCTTTGGCTATTGGCAATGGTTGCAGAATGAGAGGTTGGGAAGGGTGTAAGAGGCTGAATATTATCATGAAGTGAAAGCAAGGGAGGAGATAGAGTTGAAGAGGACAGGTTATGTTTGATTGGGTCTTGTGTACTAGTGGAAGCGTTTGGGCGGTTGACCCTTCCCGACTGCCCACACAATGGAAGTTGTCTTTGTAGGATAGCTGAAAGAGATTTGTGACAGCAGACCCACAGGACATCTGCTTGGAACCTGCCATACACATGTCTTAGCATTGTCAGTATTTGATTTTATTGTTCTAAAGCCTGATAGAAAAATATTATACCACCGGCACTGAAGGACGGTAGGGCATAGTGATATCCTTAGGGTTGACCCTTTCTATCGCCTCCCCCCCCCCTCCTCTCTGGCACCAGGAAAGCACCATCAGCATGGAACTCCTGGTCATCCACGGAACTACAGCCGTCATACCCCATCCAGTCAGTAGCACAGCTTCACCTTCAGGTACTCATCGTGATACAGCAACTTACCCAATAATGGTAACTGCTGTTTGTCTTACCACCATACAGCAGACCTTTCTAGTATGGCACGACCTCGAGAAAGCAAGCGTCCCAACCGCAGTAGCTTGTTGAGTCGTTTTGACATACAAGTTTGGCCACCACATCAAGGTAGAATCTAATGGTCAGGGTTGTTCTTTGTCTGATAATGTGAAGTGTGGCAGTTTGAGCTAATGCATTTCTGTGCGAGGTTGTGCATTGGTTTTATCTGTCTAGTATAGTTTGCTACACCAGGACCACACAAAATATACTTTATTCAACAAACTAGACCAACTCGGCACTTAAGTTTTCCCAACAGTTCAATACATCTTTGGTCAAGGTACTTTAAGATTTAATCTTCAGTTGAATTTCAGAGATGCCATAGTCACAATGGCATGGGTAAAGTCACAGTCATAATTACCGTTTAATGTATGAAATGTTATAAAGGTCTCATAATAATAAAACCATCCTTGATATAACATGAATCTTCAGACAACCAGAGAGTAGTGAAGTTTTGGATAGTGAAATTTACATACAAATACGGTGACTATATTCATAAACAACGAAGAAATGAAAAAAGGAATCTACACAAAATTTAGGGTGTTAGAAACTCAATTCTTACTCAGTTCTCAGATTATTTTTCCAGATTGTTTTATCCCTTTGCACTTTGCCGAATTCTATCGACTCTTTTATCATACAACGTAAGCAAATCTCTTATGTTTACTGGGTTATCAGCCAGCATTTCTTTTGGGAGATTCTAGTGGTTTCTGAGTGTATAATCACTACGACACTTAGTCATATTCTTATTCCCTCAGTCTCATGCAACGTACCTGCAGGCTACAAAAAAGCCCTGAAAACATTTAATCATGAAAAACAAGCAATATAGCTACTTCAGAAAAAAACTAATCACATTCACCCAACCACATAAAAGTTTTAAGTAGTAAACATTCTCAAGAGTAAAACAATTGTGATAAATTGTCCGTAAAGTACAACCTCTACGCATTACTATCTTTTAATTTCATATGTTAACATGGCAATTATGAGCAGAATAGGAAGATTGGTGTCAACTAGTTGGAGCAAATATAAGTAGTGAAAAGTTACTAACTGTTTGGATTATCAATTGATTCCACTTTGACTATTTTATTCCGCTTTTTTCCACGTGGTATTATCAGCTAGCGTGTTTGAAAAATCTAACGGGTTGTTGTAGGCTGTTCATCAAGGGGTCACTTCTAAATACTTGCTCAATAGGTGTGGGGCAAACTTATGTTATTTTTCACTTTAGCACTCTACCGCACAACTGATATGATATTTTAAAAAAACATCGCGTGATGCAATCCATCGCTTATCTTGTTTATAATAGCGACAAACGACAGATCCTAAACATCAAAATGACATGGCGCCATGCAGTACAATTTACACATATATATATTAATGGAATTAGGTGAAGAAGTGTAGTCACTGATTCATCTCTACATACACTACACATGAGCTCGGCAAATGTGAGCGATACTCATGATACGTACGTGTGGAACAAATAATGTGAGATCACTTACGGGGAAATAGAGCGCTTCATCTTGAGTAGCGCTGTATAAAGATATGCCGCCACGATGCTACCAGTTCTCCAATACTTTAATAGTATTTGTGGGATAAATTGACATAAATAAAACTATTTGAAGGCTGTGATATGATCATTGTGTTGTCTTATTAGTTATCATATTCGGAAGTTGTATCCATAAACTGCAATAACGTCAGAGTTGAACTTGCTTAGACCCCATGCTAATTTGTAACAACAGTTATAAGTAATGGCATGCCGTGACTTATCCTGAAATTTTCGTCTGAGGTCTTCAATGTTTCCAAAAGCTTCTAACGAATACTTCCCACCCCCACCCTTCTAAAATACAATTCCAGAGTGCAGCCACAGGTAAGGTAACAAGAGAAGCTCAGCCATTTATGGCCTGCAGTACCCACGAAAGTGTTTCAGCATCTGCCACAAGATGAAGTGACGATCAATAAATCCATGATCTGAGCGATACTCAAACTGATCATTGAGAAAGCTTTACATAAGTTTGCAACGCGTAGCGCTAACCAATACTATGGATGCGATAGTTACCGAATAACGTTCAGATTACTTGTTATTTATTTGTCCCTTGGGTTCCCAGTGGAACATAGGGCTTCAGTAGCACGTCCCCAGTGCACTCTGTTCTCTGAAATCTTTTGAGCCTGGCTTCACGGCAGCCCAGAAACTCTCATTTCTTCCTCACACCATCTACTCCATATCACCCTCAGACGCCCAACTCATCGTATCGCATCAGGGTTCCACTCAAGCACCTGGCACATGATGTCCCCGAATGGTCTTCTCAGTGTATGCCCAATCCATCTCCACTTCCTTCCACTACGTATTTGTTCAGCGATAGGTTCTTGGTTGGTTCGTTTCCATAGTTTCTCTTTGCTTATTCCTTCTGGCCATCTGAACTTCAGTAACGAGCTGGCGGAGGCAGTTGTTGATGAATGTCTGTATTTTGTTGGAAATCCCCTTCATAACGCGCAAAGTGTCTGAACCATACAGAAGCACTGACTTGACATTAGCGCTGATAATCCAGATCTTGTTCCATATGCTGAGTGCAGTAGATCTACCTCCACACTGATTTCAGGTTAATGAAGGCCTGTTTTGCTGTCTTTCCGATTCTGGCCTTGACGTCCTCATCTGTGCTTTCGCCACCTGTAGTTGAAACGATACTGCCTACATAGATGAAAGAGACTACTTCCGTTAGGTTCCTTTCACTGGTGGTGATTGGAGCTTGTTGTTGTTGGCGGTGGTCTTGGTTGGATATCTTCATCACCACTGTCTTCTCTACGTTCACCGGAAGGAAGTGCCGTCTTCGCTCCCCTACCTCTTCTACCAACTTGTTGTTTTTCACCCGTAGATCTTTATTTTCATTTGACATTAGACACAAATCACCGGTGAAGTCCAAATCTTCTGAGATATTTACCCCGGACCAGCTCATCCCCCTCTTCTCGCTCCTCACTGTGTGCTGAATTATCCAGTCGAACATAATCAGGAATGTCATGGGTGATAGTAGGCGGCAGCCTTGTTTTCCTCCTGTCTCCACCTCAACGGCGCCACTGAGCCTCCTATTTTGAACTGCTTCTCATGTGGCGTCTTCACATAGTTGTTGAATGAGGTTGATCAAGATTTGTGTCGCTAGAACTATAGTGTTGAAGCAACTGCCAAATTACTTCTCGGTCGACGCTGTCGAAGGCATTTTCAAAGTCGACGAAGTTGAGGTCTTGGAAGTTGTCCTGGTGCAAACTTGACAGACGCAAGGACCATTTACTAATTATTCGAACTTGTTATATACCCACAAATACGAGACCAAGGAAGAACACGATAGCGTAGTCGGATGGGATAGTATATTTCGTTGGTTATGCCAAGATACCGATGCGTTCCAAATAACTGGCAAAGGAGTTGAATACGAGCAGTGCAGCGCAACACAACAGCCTGCCAAATGGCGAGGATGCTTGACCGGGTGCCTCCAGCTTAGCGAGTCCAGTTAAACTACCAAGGTCAGCATCAATGTCAAATGTCGTCGAACCCGAGGCTATTGATTTTGAGGTGTGTGACGCTGCAAGGTGGACAGTCGACTGCTGCTCTATGCACTGCTGCATGATGATGCGTAGCGTTGCGGTTGGGCCAGCACATGTTTTGTATTTCCTGAAGCCAGCTAATCTGTTCCAGTCGTAATTTTGAATCCAGCGCATCCTTTAGTCCCTTCAGGATGATGCGACCTAATATTTTGCTTGGTGTGGACAGGAGCACGATTCCACCCAAGTCCTTACAAAGGCTCAGGTCTCTCTTCTTCAAGAGCTTGGCAAGACAGCCCTTCTTCCAATCTGGCGGTACCTTTCCTTCCTTCCAGGCCTTCTGCAACAGTGGTGTATGTCCGCTAATGTCCCTGAGTCTGTTCTCAGTGCTTCCGGCGGTTTTCCATCTGGTCGCACTTCTTTCCCGCATTTTAGTAGCTTTATGACGTTCAAGACTTCAACTTTCGTGGGAGGGCCTGTGTTCACTGGTGGTTCTGTGACTGGGCTGTTGGTAACATTTCTGGACGGAGTGCAGGTCTTGGTCGATTCAAGAGTTTTTTAAAGTGGTTAGCCCATCGTTTCCCTTTTTCTCTTATTTGGTAATTAGATTTCCTTCATCATCTTTCATTGATTTCATCTGTGTTGGTCTCTTCCCAGGTAGCAAGTAACCCAGTTGTTTGATACAATGTTGTTAGGTCTCTGTGTCTCCTACCTGCAGCCTATTCTACTTCACTTGCCAGTGTGTCGTAGAAGTGTCTGTTGTCCTTGCGCGCACTCCTCTTCACTTCTTTGTCCTATGCAGTGCTTTATGCGTTGGACTCAGTTCTTCCCTTCGTTGTGCATCCTTGCACTGGTTTATCTTATGCTTCACCACCCTCCTCTGATCTATCAGCTTCCATGTATCCGTGAAGATCCATTCCTTATTTTTTCTTCTTCCTCCCTAATATGGTTATGCAGGTTTCTTTCCACACAGCCTTTGAAGAGTTCCAAAGGTTCATTCACACAGGTTTCTTCAGAGATGTTGCTCGATACCCCCCATTTTGTCTTGATGGCTGCTGTGAAGATGTCCTTTGTAGTTTCATCCTTCAGCATCTGGTTGTCGAACTTGAACTGTGGTCTGTCACCAACTTCTTTGAGGGCTTTTAACTTGATTTGGAAGGTTCGTTGCACTAGACGGTGAGTAGTATGGACCTACATCTGCTCCTCTTCTTGACCTTGTGTCAGGTAGGCGGCGTCCCCACTTTCGATAAAGTCAAGCTGATTTTTAGTGTCGTGTGTTCTGCTGTCTGGCGAAATCCACGTCGCTTTGTGGGCATCCTTGTGCTTGAACACACTGCCTTGCCCCCAATCACCAAATCGTTGAATGCACACAATTCTGCAAACAATTCTCCATTCTCGTTCATCACCTCACCGAGCGCTTCTTGATTCATGGTTAGTTCTCTACCTGTGTTGTCCCTTCCCAGTTTGGCATTCATGTCGCCCATTAGAATTATGACATCGCCAACTGAGGTCTTGTCCAGTTTTGGCTGAAGTTGTCTGTAGAATTCCTCCCTCCTTTGAGGTGAATCTTGCTGTCATGATCCTGCTGGAGGAGATCAGTTCACACTGTATGACAGCCTTCAATGCTGCTGGGGACATCATGATAGCCACTCCATAACTCAATGTGCTCGTCGTTGTCGTCTGGGTGACCAGAGTAGATTATTGATTCTCCATATCTTCTCATTTCTTGTGCAATCTGGACGGCCTTACTATTTTCAAACATCGTGCGGATATTCCATGTCCCCGTATTTACCTTTGCTTTCACCGAGAGAGAGAGAGACATCGGCCAATTGGCGTCCCAAAGGCTTTCGCCAACCAGTGTCATTTCGCCTCTCCGATTCCAGCGAGGAATAATTTTTTTATTTTTATATTTTGTTTGTGCTTTGAAGTTTGTTTAGCGGTTAGACTTGTTTTGCGGAGTAGGGTTGCTAGCCCTATGCCCAACCTTCCCTCCTTTCCCGGGCTTAGGACCGGCTAGTAACCAGTGAACTAGTTAACCAGGGGAGGTTGGGTAATGTTCAGAAGCTCTTCGTATATATTATTACGCCCGTCTTAAAGATGGATACTATAACGAGCTCACTCCGCACCAGCGGAAAATCTTCAGTCTTTTATATCTTCCTAACTGACGTAGTTGGTTACAGAACTACAGTGAATTATCCGTTACAAATGCCTTGTGCCACCATACTGCTTGGTTCTGCCAGTGGAAGCCCACTCCATCGGGTGATTTAATGTTAACCTATTGTGGAGGCAAGTACACTGAAGCTAAAGCCGTCCGGGGAGTATGTCAGTCTTACTGCCTTAGGGATGCTCTACGCAGTGTCGCAAGAACTTTCGAGCAATTACCGTGCAACTTAAACCTGGGTATGCAGGTATGCAGCTTCTTGATGTCACGCCCGGTGTTCAAAAGTTTACCACAGTACATGTTAGCACACACTGCTTTCAGTGCAGTGAGTTTCCGCAACCGACAATCAGATGCTTTACTTTGCAATTTTGCCGGTATATTGCAATGAATCATCGAGCTTTACTGGTCGTGGCGATTGTTCCTCGAACTTAAACCACTCCAGAAGGGCCTCTTGTGTATTGGTAAAGCTTGAGTTACCTACCACCATGTTGTGAATCTCTAGCGTTATGTTAGAGGTTCGAACATGGAGTCATACCGTAGTCTGCATTGAGTGACAGCTGAGAGTTTATTCTGACCCTGCCTCTCCTGAAGAAGGGAACTGGTTGGATAAGGCTTACCGCCATTTCGGATTATCTTATTTCCGTTCATCCTCCGACCTCTGAGAATAAACGCTTTATATTGTCGTCGTAAGTAAGTCAAGTCTCCATTTCAAAGCATACGGACAGACAGTATTATTATTATTATTATTAGTCCCTTGGGTTCCTAGTGGAACATAGGGCTTCAGTAGCACGCCTCCAGTGACCTCTGTTCTCTGAGATCTTTTGAACCTG